TCCTTTAAAACTTAACTCCTGCAGTCACCAGAGGCAAGCCCTGAGCAGCATCGGCCTAAGTAAGCAGCCTGTGACTTGTAGAGTGGCTGTTCCCGCCCACAGCTCTTGGAGAGCACTGGGTGGGGCACGCCTGGCAGCTCAAACAGCTGAGTCTTTCACTGAGTGTGAAGACAGCCTGACCCTTTAAAAAGAGTGGAGTTAACCCCTCCTCTGGGTCAACCTCAGCAGTAATTTTCCAAATGCTGCATGATGCATTCACTGTTATGACCCCCTAAAGCTCTTGTTTTAGTTCTAGAGCTAGTCTAAAACTATTTACCACTGATTTTTTTAATCTCTGTGTGTCATACTTGCATTTCTACTTAGGGTAAGACTAACTTGTAAATCAAAGTCTGCCCTAAAACAGCCTTGAGTGTGAACAGACTGAATTGAGAGGCCTGGGTGCCAGCAACAGCCAAAGCAGGAGTTCATAGAGCCCTCACCTATACTGAAACTGCCTCAGGACAATCTCGTCCTACTCTTTGGAAACATAAAGAATAATACAGCAACTTTTTTAAAAAACAGAAAACTGGCTGCAGATTTGGTGTCCTGGTGACTCACACAGCAAATTCAACTCCATTTTTACCCAAATCCTTATTATTTCTTCTCCTGCAAGCTACTCCTTAAAGAGAAAATATAAATATCTCTCTTCAAATTCAAGATGGTATAGCTTAGTTGGGTCAGTGTTGTTATTGAAAACAGGAGGCCTCAGCTGGGCAGAGTGGCTCACGCCTGTCATCCCAGCACTTTGAGAGGCCGAGGTGGGCTGGTCACTTGAGGCCAGGAGATTGAGACCAGCCTGGCCAACATGGTGAAACCTGTCTCTACCAAAAATACGAAAAAATACGCTTGGTGGCTCATGCCTGTAATCTCAGCTACTCAGGAGGCTGAAGCACGAGAATCACTTGAACCCAGGAGGCAGAGGTTGTAGCGAGCCAAGACCATGCCACTGCACTCCAGCCTGGGTGACAGAGTGAGACCCTGTCTCAAAAAAGAAAGAAAGAAAATAGGAGGCTAGATTCATGCTGCAGCACGGTCAGCAAGTAATAAGGTACTGTAGGAAGCTAGGTGCTGTTTTGGGTTCTTTTAATATGTTATCTGATTTCGTGTTTTTCATCATCCAGGAATAGTTACTCTCCTCCCCACAAATAACAGGAGAAAAGGAGGCTTAATGAGGTCAAGTAATCTGCCCAAAGTCCCAACAAACGCCCTCCTATTACTAACGCTAACCTTCCGTGACTCTCCAGGGCCAGAAGAAAATCCAGTGTGAGGGGTTAAAAAGTGAAACAGGCTTAGCTCACATGGAAAATCCTTAGCTCATCTCCTAGCACATGGTTAAATGCTCAAGAAATGATACCTGGCATTAGCAATAGAAGGGCATTTGAAAGCCTTTAAAGAAACACACAGAATGCATGGATTTTATGGACTTGTGCACAGAGAAGCCCGTGGTGCTAGAAGATACTGTGTAGGACTGTCACCAGTGTGCCTAAAGTTGCTCATTATCTTGCCATTTCACATAAAATAAAACAGAAATGCAAATAAAAGCTACACAAATAATGAAACATATAAAAAAGAAAATTTTCCCTTTGACTCATTCAGTTAGTCCTGGGAGTAATGCACATTGTGCTTAGATACACAGTTCTCATTGTCAGAGTTGTTTTCCCTTTGCTTTCCACAATCAGACCACAACCAGGCCAGTGCTTGGTTTTGGAAATAAGACCTTGACCACAGCCCTTTGCCTTATTGGGAATGTGTTGCTCAGCTAAGTCGCTCAAAGTCCATGCTGCCACCTACAGAATGTGAGAACATTTTGGCAAATTATATATCTGACAAGAGACTCAAACAGGCACCGTGGCTCCTGCCTGTAATCCCAGCTACTCAGGATGCTGAGGCAGGAGGATCCTTTGAGCCCAGAAGTGTTAGGCTACAGTGAGCTATGATCACAACACTGCACTCCAGCCTGGGCGACAGAGTCAGATTTTGTCTCAGAAAAAAAAAAAAAAAAAAAGAAAAGAAAAAAGAAAGAAAAAAAAAGAAAAAAGAGACTTTCTAGAGTATATGAAGAACTCTTATAACTCAATAGTGAAAAGACAGATACCTCAATATAAAAATAAGCAAAGGATCTGAATATTTATTCAAAGAAGATATAAACGGCCAATAAGCACTTGAAAAGATGCTCAGCGTCATTAGCCATCAGAAGAATGCATATCAAAACTACAATGAGAACTACTTCACACCCAATAGGATGGCTATTATAAAGAAGACAGATCACAATGAGTGTTGACCAGGATTTGGAGAGATTGGAATCCTTACACACTGCTAACAGTAATGCAATATGGTGCAGTCTCTGGAAAACAGTCTGGCAGTTTCCTCAAAAAGTTAAATATAGAGTTTTTATATGAGCCAGCAATTGTACTACTAGGTATACACCCAACAGAATTAAAAACATATATTCACACAAAAAATATGTACAGGACTGTCCATAGCAACATATTTGAAATAGCTAGAAAGCAGAAACAAACCAAATGCCTATCAGCTGATGACTGAATAAATAAAAGATGGTATATCCATATAATGAAATATTACTCAGCAGTGAAAAGGAATAAAGTACTGATATATGATACAACATGGACAAATCTTGAAAATGTTATGGTAAGCGGAAGAAGCCAGGCATAAAATACTACGTGCTTTATGGTTCCCTTCATATGAACTGTCCAGAACAGGCAAATGTATATAGACAGAAAGTAGATGAGCAGTTGCTAGAGTTGAGGGATGGTAAGTGGGGAAAATGGTGAGCAACTGCTAATGGGTACAGGGTTTCTTTTAGAAGTGATTAAATGTCCTGAAATTGATTATGGTGATGGTTGCTAAACTCTGTGAATATATTAAAACACAACAAATTAGATGGATGAATTGTATGGTATGTGAATTATGTCTTAGTAAAGCTGTTGTTTTTTTTAAATCTCATGCTTCCCAGGCAGCTGGAGTTTCTTCCAACTGGGCTGTGGAGTACATGACATGGAAGGCAATGTGGTTAAAGGCATACGTTTCAGAATCAGATTCCCCTGGGTTCCAGTGCTGGCTCTGCCTTTTATTGTCTGTATAAACTTGGGCAACTCTGTGAACTTGTGAAAATATTTGTGATAATACAGTCTTTGTGGCTTTGTGCAGATGAAATGAGATGATGCAGGTAAAAGGTTTATCACAGTATTCACTTTGCGAGTGCTCAAAAGGAAGCTACTGTACTTATAAAGGCATTTATTCCATTACATATTATTTCTTCCATTTCTCGTGTTTCCACCACCAAATCAAAATAGGAATCAGAAGTTCACATGCATTTATCTCCACTGACTTCAAAAGAAAAGGGTAAAAAAGTTGTCCTAGTTTAGGGATGCAAATGATGTAGCAGTGGCAGGGTGCCCTGAGTGTGCATTACCAGGCTTTGGAGTTTATGTCATCAGGCATGGGGCGAAATGGTAGCTTTTGAGGCATAAAGAGGAGCATAAGTTCTGTCCTATTAAAGAGATCAATTGCCCAGTGTGTCCAATATTCTGTCTTCCACTCTGGCCAAGACAGATGCTTCAGAGAAGGCCAGAAAATCCATTAACATACTTAATTACACACTCTTGTATCATGGCAGATACATTACTGTCCCAAACCCAGCCTGTCCTTGCCCTAAATATCCAACATCCATATCTTCAAGGTAGCTTGCAGATTTAAACTAATTAATCTTCCTCCAAGAGGCTTTTTCTTACCAGGGAGTGGGAGGGCTGGTTACCTGCCGCCTGCCCTCATCTGTGAACTACTGCGCTGATGCCTGATTGTCACTTTGTGCCTGTTTGACCTTATGCTTAGTGGGCATTTGGAACTCCTGCACCGTCAATCATTTGTTGAAGACCAACTGTATGCCAGGAAAGGTGCCAGACATTGGGGCAAAAGGAAGACAAGGATTTTGTTCATGAGAGGAACTCTAAGTCTACTAGGGAATATATAATTTTTCCTATATTATGATTACTTAAAAATGTGTTGGCCTCCCCTTTGAGAGAGATATATCTGAAGATAATAATAATGTAAGGTATAACTACTGAAATGGCTCAGAACAGCAAAGTGACTTCTCAGAGGTCACTATGAAACACTTCCATTTTCATTTAGTTAGTCTCATGGCTGGGTCTAGTTGTAAAGGGAGTGGGGGAATGTACTCATTTAATGGAGGGACAATGTGCCTAGATATAAACTGAAGTTCTATCCCTAAGAAAAAAAAAAAGAGAGAATGAATTTGGGGAACAAATTAGCAATCTTCTCACAGGAGGCATGGAAGATTTTTAATAAGAGAGTGGTAAATTTAGATCTGTGGTTAGGGGCACATTTGGTGGCCCACAAACATCAGTAGGTTATGGTGTGGGGTAAGGAAAGGTAAGACAAGGGAAAGGAAGCGAAGCCGCGGCAAAACATGATCAACTAAAAGCCAAAACATGATTATTGGTTTGAACAACTAAGAGGATATGAGGTGATCTTTGAGAAAGCTGTTTTACAAGAGTGGTAAGCTAGACACAAAAACCTGTGATGAAAAATCACCAATATGTTGTCCCTTTTGTTGCTCAAGGAGCTCACAATGCACTGGGGAGAGAAACACACATCTGCAAATATCATCACTGAAAAGAAATCATTGCATTAAGTGCTAGAGTTAAAGCGTATAAATCCAACACTGAGCACAAAGGAGGGAGGGATTGAGTCTGACCTGGAGAGCAGCAGAGGAGAAAGTGCGAAATGAAAGGTACCCCAACAACAGACAAAGGGTCACACTTGGCCCCAGACATAGTGCTTCTTCCTCAAGTGCGAAGGGAGTATTGCCAACACAAGATATGCAGTGTTATCTGTATTTGCAAATTGTTTATATTCGGGACATTCACTTCATTCAGTCCGGCAATTTCATTCAATTAATCTCATTCATTTCTTAATTAATCTAATTCATTATTCTCTGTAAACTCCACGAGAGCGGAGACTGCTTGTCTTCTTCATCGGTAGATCCCCCATGCCTACTGGCGCTAGTAGTTGCCCTAAATTCACTTATCAAAGGCAGAAAGAATAACTGGGACTCTTCTCTCTTGCTTTTCACGATTTCCAGCAGGGCACAAAGGCCTACAGTCCCGACCTGAAAAAAACAGACTTGACTGGAGGCAGCGCCTCTTCTTCCAAATACAGCTCGGGCTGCCGCAGATTAGCACAACCGCCTAAGCGGCGGAACGCTGGAGAGTGCGGAACCTGGCATCCTAGGAAACTGAAGGCAACGGAACCTGGGGGCGATGGAATCCGGGAGCGGTGGAACCCGGAGCCTGTAGAACTTGAATCCAGCGGAACCTGACAGCGGCGCCCAGGGGGCCACCCGGACTCTGTTTGGAACGGAAGCACAGTGTCCGTCGTTTCCTGGTTGCGGGTCAGCGCCGAGGTCCTGGGCTGGCAGCCGGGATGTTGCCCTACACAGTGAACTTCAAGGTGTCGGCGCGCACCCTCACGGGGGCCCTCAACGCCCACAACAAGGCGGCGGTGGACTGGTGAGGGCGCCGAGCTTCCAGGTCGCCAGGATCGGCCAGGAATGTGTGAGGGGAAGGGGGAAGAACAAGAGGTTTCACCCCCTGGTTAGTTTGGCCTCGCTAAGACAGGCAGCCGCCCTCACTCAATAAGATTGCTTTTAGTTGGTGGATTTTTGTTGTTACAAAAGTGATAGTAGCCCCGTGTGGGAAAGTCCCCCATGCAAATACATTTCCCCTCTTTCTCGCCTATTTCTCTGCTGTTTTCTCTGCACCTTGCCCTTTTGCTATTCCATTCTCCTCTCTTTACCTCCCCTCCAGCTTTCAGGTTTCTCTCTCTCCACCATTAGTTCCCTGTTCACTTTCTCTTTCCCATCCTGTCTTTTCTTTTTCTTTCTCTTGTGTTCCTGTTTTCCTTCAACAATGTGCCAGACCCCGTGCTAGGCGCCTGTTCTCTCACCTGCCCTTTTCACCTTCTCTTTTCGGGCTCCTCCTGTGTAGGACATTCCTGTCTTCAACAGGTCGTCTCTATTACTGTATGCTTTCACTATAAATTACCACTGCAGCTCTGAAAATTACTCATTAGACAAATGTAAAGCAAAATTCTGTGGCTGTAGGATGTTGTTAGGAGGACCGAAACGTCTTGTGCAGTGTTTGTCATTTTATTTAGTTGGAAGTACTGGGGTTCGTTGCGGTATCCCCAGGCACGTTGTGGATACTAAGGATTAGAAATCGGGTAAGCAAAAGACGTATGCCCACAAAAACAATCAAGTTCACTTCTATGTCCTCGGGACTCTGTTTTCATATCTTTTAGAACTTTTTTTATCCGAATGAAAAGTGAATTTCAACAAGCATTTTAAGCTTAGCCAGATCTTTTATTCAAATAGGATAATGATAAATACTGGCCTTTGGGTTTAAATGATTTTATTAATGGTGGTACATATGAATTAGATTTATCATTTATTTAGGCTTGACAAGAAAGAAGTTGTCCTGCTTTGTTCTGTACCTAAAATTTAACATTACTGTTTTGCTAGGGGCTGGCAAGGTTTAATTGCTTATGGATGTCATTCACTTGTGGTAGTGATTGATTCCATTACTGCCCAAACTCTTCAAGTTTTAGAAAAGCATAAAGCTGATGTTGTCAAGGTAAGTAAAATCCCATTTTGACCCTAACATGTTGTCTTGTCTAAAGTTTAATACTGTGTATCACTAAGCTCTCATTAAGTCTTACGTGTAAGTGTTGAATAGCTTTTAAATATAAAAATCTATTTGGGGTAGCCTAGAATTTTCATATATATGACTTAATGTCGATACAGGATGAGTTATTAAATGCTAGTTGTTAGATCATTTTAAGGCAGATGAAAGACACCAGTTCTACCATTTACAAGACCACTCAGTCATTCCTTAGTTTTGAGCACTTAGCATGTGCTATGGATATGGAGATAATTCTCCGCCTTGTAAGGAAGACTCACGGCGTGGTAGTATGATAAGTGAGACTTGCTTAACACGCTGTGAGAAAACAGAGGAGCTTCATATTGCCTGGTTGTGAGGAGAGTCACAGACATCTTTTCAGTTTCAAGACTAGTAGACAGTAGTTAGCCAAGTAAAAAATTGACAAGGAGCATTGCAGGGAAGAGCAAGAATATACACAGAAGTAAGTAGTGTGCCATAAAGATGGCACACTTGTAAGAGTGATGGAATAAGAGGCAGACAGAGAGATTCAGCTGTCTGTTCTGAAAGTTTTAAAAGATTATGAAGGAGTTTGGATTTTTTTTTCTTTTTTTTTTTGTGAGAAGGAGTCTTGCTCTGTTGCCCAGGCTGGAGTGCAGTGGCACCATCTCAGCTCACTGCAAGCTCCACCTCCCAGGTTCACGCCATTCTCCTGCCTCAGCCTCCGGAGTAGCTGGGACTACAGGTGCCCGCCACCACACCCAACTAATTTTTTGTATTTGTAGTAGAGATGTGGTTTCACCATGTTAGCCAGGATGGTCTCGATCTCCTGACCTCGTGATCCACCTGCCTTGGTCTCCCAAAGTGCTAGGATTACAGGCATGAGCTACTGCGCCCAGCAGGAGTTTAGATTTTTAAGTAGGAGATTGATGTGACCACATTTGTATCTTCGAAAAACTCTGGCAGCAGTGGAGGATCTGCTGGAGAAATGCAAGACTGGAGGCAGTAAGATCATTTAGGAGACTTTTGCAGTAATTTTGGCGGGAAATTCTAAGGGCCTAAAATAAAGCTGGGTCATGGAGAAGTCATATATTAGAGCTGCCTAAGAGGTAAACCTGATAGCCTTTATAGTGATCAGTATAAAGGAGAGTAAGAGAATAGAGTGACTCCAAGGTTTCTTTTGGTGTAATTGAATGACAGTGTTTCCAGTTATCAGCGGTAAGCATCTGTGAAGTCAGTGAATTTTAGTTTTCAACAGCAAAGTCTGAGGTGCCTGTAATCTATTGCATTATAGTGATCTGAGCTTTAGGAGAGAGGTCAGGATTAGAGATAGAGATTTGGAGTCTTTTTCTTTTTCAAATAATAGCTTTATTGAGATACTCATACCATAAAATTTGCTCATTTAAAATGCACAATTCTGTGATTTTTAGTATATTCACAGTTATGCAGCCACAATTACAATGAACTTCATTACCTCAAAAAGAAACCGTGTATCCACTAGCAGTCATATTCCATTTCCCCCATTTCCCTCATCGTTTGGCAACCACTGTGTCTGTAGACTGGCCCATTCTGGACATTTTATATAAATTGAATCATATAGTTTGTGGTCTTTCGTGCCTGACTTCTTTCACTTAGCATAATGTTTTCATGGTTCATCTGTGTTGTAGCATATATCAATACTCTGTTCCTTGTTACTGATGAATAACATTCCACTGTAAGGATGTATCACATTTATTTTATTGATGGACGTTTGGATATTTTGTACTTTTTGCCTGTTACGAATAATGCTGCTTTGCACATTCATGTGCAAGTTTTGTGTGAACTTGTGTTTTCATTTCCCTTGAGTATATTTCTAGGGGTAGAATTACTGACTCATATGATAACTCTGTTTAACTTTTTGAGGAACTGCTGGACTGTTTTCCAAATTAGCATTCCCATTAGTAATGTATGAGGAGTCCAGTTTATCCAAATCCTCACCAACACTTGCTATTCTCTGTTCTTTTGATTATAACCATCCTAATGGGTATGAATTGATTCTCATTGTGGCTTTGGTTTGCATTTCCCTGATGGCTAAAGGTGTGGAGTATCTTTTCATGTGCTTATTGGCCATTTGTATATCTTCTTTGGAGAAATGTCTATGCAGGTCCTTTGCCCATTTTAAAATTATATTATTTATCTTTTTATAATTGAGTTGTAAGGTTTCTTTGTATACAGTAGTCCTCCCTTATCCAGAAGGGAAATGTTCCAAGACCCCAGTGGATGCCTGAAACCCTAGATAGTACCAAACCCTATATATATACACATATATATATATGTGTGTGTGTATATATATATAGTGTTTTTTCTCATACATACTCACTTATGATAAAGTTTATAAACCGAACCCTGTATGTACCGTTTTGTCTCATACATACTTACCTATGATCAAGTTTATAAATTAGGCATAAGAGATTAACAACAATAACTAATAATAATAAAGGAGAACAGTTATAACAATACATCAGCATTACTACTCTTGCACTTTAGGGGCATTATAAAATAAAATAAGAGTTATTTGAATGTAGCACTGAGATATCACAACAGTTGATCTGATAATCAGTGTGGCTGCTAAGGGCAAGTGCTGGATAAAGCATGGATGTTCTGGACAAGGGGATGATATATGATTGAGGCAAGATGGAACAGGACAGTGGGAGATTTCATCATGCTATTCAGAAAAGTACATAATTTATGAATTGTTTATTTCTAGAATTTTTCATGTCATATTTTTGGACCTTGATTGATACATGATTTGCAAATATTTTCTCTCAATTTGTGGGTTATCTTTTTACTTTTTTGGTGGTGTCTTATGAAGAACAAAACTTTTTCATTTTGAGGTAGTCCAATTTATTATTTTGTATTGTTGTTACTTGTACTTTTGGTGTCATATCCAGGAAACCATTGCTTTCTCCAATATCAAGAAGATATATACCTTTGGTTTTTTCTTAGAATTTTAGAGCTTTAGCTTTTAATCCATTTTGAGTTAATTTTTATATATGATGTGAAGTAGGGAAAAATACAATTAATTTTTGTTTATTGACCTATATTCTGTAATTTAGCTAACTTCACTTAGATCTATTTAATAGTAATTTTGGGTGAATTTTTTTAAGTAGATAGTCATGTCACTGCAAGTGACTGCAGTTTAATGTTTTCTTTGATAATCTGTGTGTCTTCTATTTCTTTTTCTTGCCATGTTGCATTGGCTAGGACCTCTACTACAATGAATGGGAGGAGTGAGAGGGTACTCTTGTCGTGTTCCTGAGCTTAGGGGGAAAGCATTCAGTCTTTCATCAAGTCTGATGTAAAGTATAGGGTGTTTTGGGAAAAATATATTTACCTTCTCTTTCCCTCTCTGTTTCCTTTCCCCTACACTGCCCCTTGGCATTTCTGGAGCTTTTATTTCTTTATGTAGGTCCAAGTTTCAGTCTGGTATTATATTCCCATCTACTGAAGAATTTACTGTAAGTTCTTGAAGTGCCTGTCTAATACCGGTTGATTTTCTTAGCTTTTATTTCTCTGAGAAAGTATTTCACCTTTGTTTTTGAAAGATAATTTTCAAAGGATATAGAATTCTGGGCTTACAATTTTTTTTTTCTAGTAATACTTTACAAATATCACTCCATTGGCCAGGCACAGTGGCTCACACCTGTAATCCTAGCACTTTGGGAGGCCGAGGTGGATGGATCACTGGGGTCAGGAGTTTGAGACTAGCCTGGCCAACAAGGCAAAACCTCATCTCTACTAAAAATACAAAAATTAGCCAGGTGTGGTGGTGCACACCTGTAGTCCCAGCTACTTGGGAGGCTGAGGCAGGAGAACAGCTTGAACCTGGAAGGTGGAGGTTGCAGTGAGCTGAGATGGTGCCACTGCACTCCAGCCTGGGCAACAGAGTGAGACTCTGTCTCAAAAAAAAAAAAAAACAACAAAATCACTCCACTATCTTCCAGCTTACATAGTTTCTGATGAAAAATTTTTGTCTTTGTTTCTCAGCATTATTTCTTTTTTCCCCCGATTACCTTCAAGATTTCCTTAACCTTGGTTTTCATTAGTTTGATTATTTAAAAAATATGTTTATATATACATAGCTTGGAGTTTACCTAAATGGGATTCAACATATACATATACAAATATATACACATATACAAACATATATATATACACATAGAGACAGTCAATTCTTGTTATTCATGATAGCTATATTCTGTGAAGTTGTTGCATACACCGAATTAGTGAATACTGAAACTTTGTTTGCTCCTAGGGGTTAGGTTCTTGTGAGGCTCTGGTCACAACATTTTCATCAACTGATCAATACATAACCTTGCTTTATATGTGTTTCCATTTAAAGACGTATTATTTAATATGTCGATTGATCCATTAACATTGAACTCATAGCCAACAACACATGCCTGAGCAAAGCTTATCACATATATATGTATTTTTTGTAAGACACATCACAACTTCTCATACTTAGAAACAGTAGAAGCACTATGCTTGGGGACCTATTTAGATAGTTAAATCACCAGCAAAAAGAACAAAAATGTGAAAAATGTGGTACTAAATAAATCATGACATGAACACTTGTTTTGTAATTGTAAAAGCTAAAGCAAGAATTCTTGTTTGACTTTAGCTGGGAACGCACATGTATGTTGGGTGACATTTTTTCACCATTCTGCACTTGTCCACAAAAGCACTGCAAGTATTGATTTTGAGGTTGCAAATTTTAGTGAGTAGGTAAATGGACAAATACAGAATCTATAAATAACTAGAATTGACTGTATACACATATATACACTATACATATTCTATTCATACACATTCTATACCTACGAACTGATACATATTTAAACATATACACATACAAATATGCATACACACATACATATGCATATCTACACATACACACTTCATTTAAAAATTTTTGCCTGAGCAAAAGATCTATTCCAGGAAAACCTTCACACTCATTTTCAGAAAACGCTGTTTCCATCTTTTTCATGAATACTACTGCAACTGGTTGGCTTACTTTCCTACCTTAGCATTATATATGAGTGTATTTATCTCTATACACATGTATAGATATATACATTTATATATATTTATAGATTTGTGCTATTTAAATCTACTTATTAAGCGGAGCTTTGGACACTGTACTAAGTCTGAGAATAGAAATGCGAACAGAGACTACATGGTCTGCCCTATGGAACTGACAGTTGATGGACTCATGAACAGGCAAAAAGAATGTAAATAAAATGTAAATAAAATAAGTACAAATTGTGTAGTTAATTCTTTGAAGAAAATAAACAGGATACTGAGAAGAGAGGGGTGGTAGTGACCAGGGAACGCCTGACTCCTAGTGAGGACTATGAAATTTATCCCTTACTCTGTCAGTATTCATTGTTCAAGAACTTAATCAGATTTGCCCTGGAATTCTTGTGTTTCTTTATTTTAAAAATTCTTTTCTTAATATTGTTGCTAGAGACATGAAGCATATACATACATTTTTTAGAGGAAAACTTAATGTTTTGTGAAAGAGGGAGACAGCTAGAGTTTTTTGTTTACGTTTGCCTTCTCCTAACTTTCCCTCTGCAAGGTTTTTGTGTTTCTAAGTTGTCCCCTTTTAGTTAGGAGACTAGAATACAGAAAAAACATTCTGCTAAATATGATTTTAGGTATTTTGTCATAAATTAGATTTTAGGAAAACTGATTTCCAAGGCATCCTGGGGTTTTAACCTAAGTTTCCCAAAATATTGAGGCTGTGAATCATTTTTCATATTTTAAAGCAGGAGCATTGTGATGTGTTAAAAAAAATTTTTTAACTGCAGTTAAAAATATATACCGAAGTAATAAAAATGCTGCCTTCAAAATGAAAACCAGTTTTCTGTTTATTCTCGCTAAATATTTATATAATATAAATGTGGTATGGGTTCTGGTTGATGTTTTGTGAAAATTATGTTCCGTTTCATCCAGTGCAAGTATTTACTTGATTTGATTTCTTCTTGATACTAGGTTAAATGGGCCAGGGAAAACTATCACCATAACATTGGCTCACCATATTGCTTGCGCTTAGCTTCTGCTGATGTCAATGGGAAGATCATCGTCTGGGATGTAGCAGCAGGAGTAGCTCAGTGTGAGATCCAAGAGCATGCCAAGCCCATCCAGGGTGAGGAAAATCTGCTCAGCCAAGTGGGCATATTGATATACTTACTCTTGGAGTGGTTTTTTGGTTTTGGGAGTTTTCCCCCATTGATTTAATTTTATCAATTCCAAGTTAGCTCTTGATTGTGTTTTGCCTATTCTACTGATCTAAATCTGGCTTTCTTTCCTTATTATAATAAACTTCTAGGCATATTTCTTCAAATCTCAACTGATTTGTGCTTTGGTAAAACTCATTAATTTCAATATCAGCCTCAGTCAAGCATGATAAGAAAAATTAAGTGTTACAATCTTATAATCTAAGCTACAGTATAAGGCAAGTTGGCCACTGCTGTTAGGAACTAGCCATCAGTGCTTACTCTACATTAAGTAATTTGTTCATTAACAGAGATGAACAAAATTTTATTCTCATTTTCATATAGATTGCTTGTTTGCTTATTTCATGTTACTGACCTAAAACCAGTACAGTATTCTTTAGACTCAAGTCCTCTAGTGGCTCTGTTGACTGAATGAATTTTTTAAGTGACTATTTTAAAAATATTTATTAAATACTTAACTGTGTACTAGGTACTGAACTGGATCTTTACATATTCTGTTTATTTTTTGAAAAACCATGAAAAACTGTAAAGTTCCATTAAGTAATTCCACAGAAACATTAGGAAAGTCTGACATCTTGGTTGTGGCTAGGAGAGTTTCATATTGATTTTATAGTTTTAAGTAATGATTAGGGCAAATTGCCTTTTATTTTCTTTGAAGTAATATTTCAGATTACTTCAAAATTTTGACCTTGAGATTTTAACCAGACAACTTATTTTTATATAAAATAAGTTTTTTTTTTCCTGGAATCTTGACACACACACACACACACACACACGCACGTCACATTTGGGGCCGGTAGTTAAGTTTTTAAGGATTATATTTTAAAAACTAAACATCAAGGACAAGTTAGCCAAGGATTTTGGAGAGTGTGGTTTCTGAATTTTGCCTTTCTTTATCTGGTCTTTCCAGATGTTCAGTGGTTGTGGAATCAAGATGCTTCCCGTGATTTACTGCTTGCTATCCACCCACCAAATTACATTGTGCTCTGGAATGCAGACACTGGCACCAAACTATGGAAGAAGAGCTACGCAGATAACATTCTTTCTTTTTCTTTTGACCCTTTTGATCCCTCACATTTAACTTGTGAGTAACAGTTCTTTGTGGAAAACGAGTTGAGATATTTATAATATAGTAATGCTATGTACATGAGATATAGACACACACATTATACATCTATAATGTTAAAATGACTGAGCAAAGTGGAGAAGCGTGTCTAGTCCATATATCTGCAGCTCCTAATACATATACTCAATCATTTGCAAATGTGATAATTAAAAATTTAAATCAGCAAGCTACACCTTCTCTGTGTTGAATTTGTAAATGGTATTAGACTAGCCAGGGACAGAGAGTTACTTTGACACTCCAGACCTAATTAGTTTTTCTAAGAACATTTAAATAACTTGAATCAAGGGTTTCATTCAGTCTGTGGCCAAGTTAAGTTCTTGCTTTTTAAAAAGTTGTACTAATTCATGCCATTCATTTTGAGTGCCATAAACAGATGCATGTAAAGAAGAAATAAGCCTAAGCAAATTTTTTCTTGCAGAGGTAGTTTTTGCTAATATGCTTTTAATGTTTTCCTGAGCTAATGGTCTAAAAATGAGATTTGCTTTAGATATTTTTATGGCTAAATTGTTTAGAAAATATTTAATCATCCCACAGATATTTCTTGCGCTATTACTACTCTTCTGGGAACCAAGATGTCTTGGAACCCGGAAGGCAGGAGCCTTCACAGAGTTTGCATTCTAGTGAGAAGAAGTCATATCATAAACTATGAACACAATGAATTAATAAATTCTAGTGTAGTAAGAGGTGACAGATGATATAAAGACAGGATAAAGGGGATGCAGAAGAATGGGAGATGAGGGCATGCAAGTTGTATGAGATAAAGTGGTCAAAGTAGGCTTCACTTTGATAATGATCAGAAATGTGAAGGAGGTAAGGAAATTAGCTATGGTAAGGAATGTTTTTCCTGGATTTGAATGACTCAAAATTATTTTACCCATCAACTTTCATTGAGGGGCATGTGTGTGTCTGCATGTGTTAAAGGAGGAAAAGAAAGGCAGACAAGTCGAAATTATAACAACATGGGAAATGTGGCTGTATAAATATGCTACAGTGTGTTTAGGCTTTTACGTATATAAATGTTTATGAACGTGTGCATACGTATACTCACTCGGTCACCAGTTTACTCACTTAGGTGCAGTGCTGGGGAAACACCTAGGAGGCCTGGCCCAGTTGGCAGAGTCAGGGAAGGAAGGCATCAGAAAGGAAGGGAGGCAAAGGGGACCTTGAAGGATGAGTTCTGGAATCGGAAAAGGCAGCAAGACTTTCATCTAACTTGATTGCATCAGCTCTTTACATCTCTGCAGTTTGGTTGATGAAAGCATTGTGTGTTTCAGAGTGTCAGCTGACCTAACACCTTTGGTTTACTCAGATCGAATGTGCTGCTAGGGCTGTCATAACTCTTGAATGCGCCCTTGTTCCCTGTGCTTAGAGAAGCCTTGCTAAGGGCCGGGACCCAGGGTAGTAAGGTTTTTCTGCTCATATCTTCCAGTATTAGTCCCTTGTTGAGGGAGATCATTTTTTCAGTCATAAAAAGGCATAATTTGTATTGCTAAATATAGTACTCCTTCCTTGACTATTTTTGTTTCATGTACACTTAGTAAGTCACTGTGGGTCCACTACTTTTTTTTCTAAATATTAAGGGAAAATAATATTCTTTAATCATCTCAAGGTTTGATCTGATGCTTGAGAAGAAAAAGGAAATATATTTAGACTGAGTAGCTCAGGATAAAAATTTGGTATTATCAAATCAAATATTTGAACTTAGCTAATTGTGATATGCAGAGCATCTTAAGTATGGCTTTTTTTTTTTTTTTTAAGTTATGGGATATGTAGAAGTTTTTTTTTGTTCTTTGCTTTTTGTTTTTTTTTGAGATGGAGTCTCGCTTTGTCACCTGCTCTGGAGTGCAGTGGTGCTATCTCAGCTCACTGCAACCTCCGCCTCCCAGTTCAAGCGATTCTCCTGCCTCACTTTCCTGAGTTGCTGGGATTACAGGTGTGTGCCACCACACTTGGCTAATTTTTGTATTTTTAGTCGAAATGGGGTTTCACCGTGTTGATCAGGCTGGTCTCCAACTCCTGACTTCATGATCGCCTCTGCCTCCCAAAGTGCTTGGGATAACAAGGAAAGATTTTTAATGAAAGTCCATGCACTGAATTTATTTACAAGAACAAACACTTGTTCTTTCTGCCAATAACCTTATGTTATCTTTTTAATATAAGAATAATTTAGAATGCCAAGCTTGGAGGCCTCTGATGAATTGTAATGGATCACCTGTTTCTCTTCAACTTGGAGAACATTCCCATTATGTTATGACTGCGTAACATTGCCAGTTATATATTATTAAAATTATCATTATATTGCTCTCAAAATTGTCTTGGAATAAAACTGTATGCTAAACTTGATTAAACTTTAATCAGAGTTTTGCTTTTCTCAATATAGTGCTCACCAGCGAGGGCATTGTTTTCATCTCAGACTTCTCCCCATCCAAGCCTCCCTCAGGCCCTGGGAAAAAAGTTTACATATCCAGCCCACACTCTAGCCCAGCTCACAACAAGCTGGCCACAGCCACAGGTGCCAAGAAAGCTCTAAATAAAGTAAAAATTTTAATCACTCAAGAGAAACCTAGGTAAGTTACAAGTGTAAAATAACAACATTCATCTACTTATCCTATATGAAAGCATCATCTCCGCATCATCTTTGGAGATGTACAAAGACTGATTTGTTTTTAATCTCACTTTTTCTCATTTCTAATTTTGAATTTATTAGAGGAAAAACATATTTATTTTGTTCCCTGCCCTAAGAGGAGATTCAGCATTTAACATTGGCTTTGTTTCCACTAACTGTGCTCAACTTCCCCACTAACTTTTATAGATTAAAATTTTTGAATTCTGATTTTTACTTGTGAAAATCGTGATGATCCTGAAGTTCGGGTCATTGAATGCATTAAAAATTTGCACACAAAAGCTAGATACTCATTTTAAATATATTTTCCTGACTTAAGTGCTGTGCATTCTCATTAAGCAGTAAAATCAGAGTGTTTTTCTTATGCAGGTAAAGATGTCTCCCATCCTGGGTAAGAGTCAAGGCTCCGGGGGAAGCTGTAGCTATGTGACTTTGAGAAACTACCTTAATCTTACTCAAATTTCTCTCTCCCAGTCTAATGTAACGCTTTAAAGTATTTCGTAGCGTTGTTTTAAAGATCAATAGATCCGATAATGTAAGTAAACATATAATGCCATTGATACTTAGTAATTTATTTAGAAGATGTCGGCTGTTATTGCTTAAGAAATTACAACTGAATAAAAGTTTATTTTAAGTAATTTGATGTATTCGAAATAGGTTTCTTTCTTTTTCCTATAGCTATAATCTGTATATTATTGCTTTGGCAGGCTTTTTTGTTTATTTTGGCATTCATCTTCAGATAGCCTTTATTTTTAGTATGCCAAGATTACTCTCTCTAGGCTTGGTAAGTAACTACTTGAAAAATATGTGGTACAAATAGCTCTACAAATACATTTTGCACGTGTGTAAGTATTACTTTTATATATTAAACCATAGGCTGGTTAAGCTCACCAGTTAATTTATCTCTCACCCTGTGCCAAAATGACTTAAGATTACTTCTTAAGTATCTTAAGAGAATTTCTAGTTTTAGGTATTCCCTCTCATAAACAAGAAATTATTTGGCAGTCTGAATAGTTTTATAAGTTAGTTTTATATTTCTTAAGTTTTCTCTGATATGAATTATTGGGGAAATACATTATTTCTTCAAGTAGAACTGCTCTGGGTGCTTTTACTTTTTTCAGTGGCTGAATTCATAACTCTCAATGATTGTCTTCAGTTGGCATACCTGCCTTCAAAAAGGAATCACATGTTGTTTGCCTCTATCCTCGCGAGAGATTTTAATCCTTGACCTTGAGGGTGAATCAGACAGTGGGTGTGATTGCAAATAGAAGCACAGGAGTTCGTTTCGTTTTTTACAGGTATCTACATTCATAAATTATATTACCCAAAATTTATAAGAGTGTTATATTAAAGAGGGCCATAATCTCGCCATTAAGTCTTGTCTTCAGTTTCCACTTTCTTTTCGATTTATTGAAAGGACTAAACACTATTTTTAGATTGATTTTAGATTGAGTTTTTTTTCTGTACTTTTTGATTGGTTTGATTTATCCGAGAATTGTGACTGATCCTGGAGATATTTATTGACTATTTAGTTACATGGATAAAGACAAATTTTTTAGGATTTATAAATGGATATTTTAAATGTACATTTAGTTTTAAAGTTTGGAGATTTGTCTATTTTTGTTTTCTTTTTTTTTTTTCTTTCCCCATTACCTAAATATGAGTTTGGTTTCCACAGTATATACCTTTATTAATTCTATTTGTTTTAACAATAAAAAATGCTCTATTTAAAAGGTGATACCTGCTTTCACGTTGATGGTTTATTTGTCTTATTTTGTCGTACATGGAACAGATGGTTGTATACAACTTTACGTGTTCGACAGATGTTATAATTAACATTTTCACCACTTCAAATGATGGAACCAGGGTAAGTTTCTGTCTCAAATAATGTTATCTTTTTCTTCAAATTATTTTATTAAAGTTGATGTGGCAAATACCAGCCAAGGGCATAGAGTTAATGGATTGCCTCCTTGGCTTGAGGAAAGTTTAAACATGGTTATAATAAAGACAATCAAAAAGTATAGCCCAAGATTAATCTCTTTGATGTTAAAACAGTGCGCCTCCTGTATACATCAAAGAGAGTAAAATTTTGTATTGCTTGATCATGTCCATGAGCCAAGTTATATACTACT